GATAGGACACCATATAAGTCCGTTGAGACGACGCCGTATGAACATTGGTTTGGCAAGAAACCAAAGTTGTCGTTTCTTAATGTTTGGGGTTGCGATGCTCAAGGCTTCAGCCGGAGAAGCTCGAACCCAAAGCGGACAAACACATTTTCATAGGATACCCAAAGGTGACAGTTGGGTATACCTTCTATCTCAGATCCGAGGGCAAATTGTTTGTCGCTAAGAACGGGTCCTTTCTCGAGAAGGAGTTTCTCTCGAAAGAATTGAGTGGGAGGAAGATAGAATTTGATGAGGTTGTCGAACCTTTATTTCAACCAGAGAGTGATGCAACACAGAAAGATGTTTTCTGTGGCGCCTACGTTTGTTGAAGAGGAAGTTAATGATAGTGATCATGAAGCTTCGGATCAAGTTGCTATCGAACCTCGTAGGTCGACAAGGATATGTACTACTCCTGAGTGGTACGGTAATCTTGTCTTAGATATCATATTGTTGGACAATAATGAACCTACGAGCTACGGAGAAGCGATGGTGGGCCCGTATTCCGACAAATGGTTAGAAGCCACGAAATCCGAGATAGGATCCATGTATCAGAATAAAGTATGGACTTTGGTGGACTTGCCCGATGATTGGCAAGCCATTAAGATAAATGGATCTTTAAGAAGAAGACGGATGTGGACGGTAATGTTACCATCTATGAAGCTCGACTTGTGGCAAAGAGTCTTTTCACAAGTTCAAGGAGTTGACTACGATGAGATTTTCTCACCCGTAGCGATGTTTAAGTCCGTCGGAATCATGTTAGCATCATCTGTATTTTTCGATTATGAAATCTGACAGATGGATGTCAAAACAAGTTTTCTTACCAGTTTTCGTAAGAAAAAGTTGTATGTGATACAATAAAAGGTTTTGTCGATCCTAAGGATGCTAAAAGGTATGCTGGCTCCATCAATCCTTCTATGGACTAGAGCAAGCATCTCGGAGTCGGAATATATGCTTTGATGGAGTGATCAAAGCTTTTAGGTTTATACAATGTTTGCTAGAAACTCGTATTTACAAGAAAGTGAGTGGGAGCGCTACAACATTTCTGATAAGTATATGTGGATGACATATTGTTGATTCAAAATAATGTAGAATTTCTGGAAAGCATAAATGGTTGTTTGAAGAGTGATTTTCAAAGGAAGACCTGGATAAAACTGCGTACATATTGGGCATCAAGATCTATAGAGATAGATCAAGATGCATGATGATACTTTCAAAGAACACACACCTTGACATGTTTTTGAAGGAGTTCAAAATAGATCAGTCAAAGAAGGAGTTCTTACCTGAGTTGTAAGGTGTGAAGTTGAGTAAGACTCAAAGCTTAACCATGACAGAAGAAAGAGGAAGGACGAAGGTCGTCCCCTATGCTTTTGTCATAGGCTCTATACGGTATGCCATGCTGAGTACCGCACCTGATGTGTGCCTTGACACATGTCTGGCAAGAGGGTACAAAGGTGATCTAGGAGTGGATCACCAGATAGCGGTCAAAATTATCCTTAGAGGAATAAGGAAATGTTTCTCGGTTATGGAGGTGATAAAGATTTCGACGTAAAGAGTTACGTCGATGCAAGCTTAACACCTATCCGGATAGCTCTGAGTAGAGATACCAGATACGTATAATGGAGCAACAATTTGGAATAGCTCCAAGTGGAACGTGGTAGCAGCATCTACGATATGACATAAAGTTTTGCGAAATACATAGGGATCTGAATATTGCAGACCCGTTGACTACAACCTCTCTCACAAGCATAACATGATCAAACCCAGAACTCATTGAGTGTTAATCACATAGTGATGTGAACTAGATTATTGAGTCTAGTAAACTCTTTGGATGTTGGTCACATGGCGATGTGACCTGTGAGTGTTAATCACATGGCGATGTGAACTAGATTATTGACTCTAGTGCAAGTGGGAGACTGTTGGAAATATGCCCTAGAGGCAATAATAAATTAGTTATTATTATATTTCATTGTTCATGATAATCGTTTATTATCCATGCTAGAATTGTATTGATAGGAAACTCAGATACATGTGTGGATACATAGACAACACCATGTCCCTAGTAAGCCTCTAGTTGACTAGCTCGTTGATCAATAGATGGTTACGGTTTCCTGACCATGGACATTGGATGTCGTTGATAACGGGATCACATCATTAGGAGAATGATGTGATGGACAAGACCCAATCCTAAGCCTAGCACAAGATCGTGTAGTTCGTATGCTAAAGCTTTTCTAATGTCAAGTATCATTTCCTTAGACCATGAGATTGTGCAACTCCCGGATACCGTAGGAGTGCTTTGGGTGTACCAAACGTCACAACGTAACTGGGTGGCTATAAAGGTGCACTAAGGGTGTCTCCGAAAGTGTTTGTTGGGTTGGCACGAATCGAGACTGGGATTTGTCACTCCATGTAAACGAAGAGGTATCCCTGGGCCCACTCGGTAGGACATCATCATAATGTGCATAATGTGACCAAGGAGTTGATCACGGGATGATGTGTTACGGAACGAGTAAAGAGACTTGCCGGTAACGAGATTGAACAAGGTATCGGGGTACCGACGATCGAATCTCAGGCAAGTACTATACCGCTAGACAAAGGGAATTGTATATGGGATTGATTGAATCCTTGACATCGTGGTTCATCCGATGAGATCATCATGGAGCATGTGGGAACCAACATGGGTATCCAGATCCCGCTGTTGGTTATTGACCGGAGAGTTGTCTCGGCCATGTCTGCATGACTCCCGAGCCCATAGGGTCTACACACTTAAGGTTCGATGACGCTAGGGTTATAAGGAAAGTATGTATGCGGTTACCGAATGTTGTTCGGAGTCCCGGATGAGATCCTGGACGTCACGAGGAGTTCCGGAATGGTCAGGAGGTAAAGATTTATATATGAAAAGTCCCGTTTTGGTCACTGGAAAAGTTTCGGGTGCTATCGGTAACGTACCGGGACCACCGAGAAGGTCCCGGGGGTCCACCAGGTGGGGCCACCAGCCCTAGAAGGCTGCGTGGGCCAAGTGTGGGAGGGGACCAGCCCCAGGTGGGCTGGTGCGCCCCCCACCAAGGCCCAAGGCGCAAGGGGGAGTGGGAGGGGGCAAACCCTAGGTCCAGATGGGCCTTAAGGCCCACCCTAGGTGCGCCCCCCTCTCTCCCCTCTTGGCCGCCACCCTAGATGGGTTTTGGGGCTGCCGCCACCCCTAGGGAGGGAACCCTAGATGGGGGCGCAACCCCTCCCCTTCCCCTATGTATACTTGAGGTATTGGGGTTGCAATACACAGGAGATCATCCCCCTCTTGGCGCAGCCCTACCTCTCTCCCTCCTCGTCTCTCGTAGTGCTTGGCGAAGCCCTGTTGGAGTTCCGCGCTCCTCCACCACCACCACGCCGTCGTGCTACTGGTGGATGGAGTCTTCCCCAACCTCTCCTTCTCCCCTTGCTGGATCAAGGCGTGGGAGACGTCACCGGGCTACACGTGTGTTGAACGCGGAGGCGCCGTTGTTCGGCGCTTAGATCGGAATCAACCGCGATCTGAATCGCTGCGAGTACGACTCCTTCATCCGCGTTCTTGCAACGCTTCCGCTTAGCGATCTACAAGGGTATGTAGATGCACTCCCCTTCCCCTCGTTGCTAGATTACTCCATAGATTGATCTTGGTGATGCGTAGAAAATTTTAAATTTCTGCTACGATCCCCAACACTCATCACCCTCACCGCTTGATGGCTCTGGAAGCATCAGAACGGCTGCATCTTCGACGGTGATCAACTTTCGGTCACTCGGCTCTCCCCCATCATCAAAGACGAGGCGCGCCTTTGGGCGAAAGCTGGCGTCACCGGAACACAAAACATCATCCCGAAGAGTTAGCTCCATTGGTCTCAGGGATGAGCAACCCCATCCGTTTGCTCTACACTCTTTACCATGCCTTCATGTCTACATGGCTTAATTGAGTGTATGTAATCTCATGATGTATAACTCTTCTGTCTATCAATGAAAAAATACGCAACCTTTGTGTATTCGTGAAAAAAACGATGTCATATCCTCTATGCGATTTTGCCATGGCAACTGATAAACAAATTATACATGGTGGCCAATATTAAGAGGGCCCTGAGTCTTAACTTCGCTCAGGCCCCCCGAAATCTCAGGACTGGTCTTGCGACCTTGCCAGCGGCATGCTACCGGCGGTGGTTGCCGGTGTGGTTGCCCGGAGGAGGTTTTTGGTGCCCAACTTCTTCCTTGGTGCGGGCGGCGGTGCAGGGGTCGTTTCCGACAGTGTCATGTTAAGGGTCTTGGCTCTTCATCCCGTCCGAAATCGAGGGCATCGGTGGTGGCTGTGGCGAGAATGGGCGGCAACACCGGGAAGTGGTTGCCACGGAGACGGGAATAGAGGAGGACAAAACTTTTGCTCTGGGAGGCACGGTGTGAGTATATTTTGGAGAGTTGGGCTCACTTTTACGGTCGAGGAATAAAAGTTATCCTCCTCTAACCGTTTGAGGGATCGATTAGGTGCGGTTAGCTGCTTAGTTTCCTCCTCTAAAGGCTTTTATGCGTCGGTTAGAGATGCTCTAGAGTACCCTCGAACTGAAAGAGGGGAAAGGAGATCAAGCCGTGTGACTTCCGGTTCCGGCTGCTCCATTGGTATACCTTTGTCAACAGAATGCACGTAAGTTTCTGGCCGTCGTAGAAACTTTGCACCCTCCATCTCCATGGAAGCAAAGCGTACGCTGCAGAGAGAAGAAAACCCAAAGACGAGGGGAGAGTGTTACTCCCAACGACGTCAAGCTAAATAAGCAAAGTCGACCAATCATACATGCCTGTCATGTCCCCCAAGCCACTCCAAAGAAGGCGCCATAAATTGCAGCGGATCACATGGGGAGACCAGGCAGCTAATGGTGGTGGGTAGCACGTAGATTATTATTAGACACGGTCGATCGAGTCATCGAGCCAAGAAGACTCTTGTGCTGCGGATAGCAATGGACGGGACGAGGCGCGGGAGGCGGCTCCTCGTGTCGCTCTGCTTCCTCTGCCTGGCCGTGCTGCTCCCCGGCGCGCTGCTGGCGTCGCCGGCGGCCGGGAGGAAGCGGCGGCAGGCCGGGTTCGACCACTACGTGCTGGCCCTGCAGTGGCCCGGCACCGTCTGCCGCCAGACCAACCACTGCTGCAGCTCCAACGGCTGCTGCCGGTACGGTGCCCCCAACTCGCTTCCCTTCCTCCCTTGCTCACGCATTGTTGTCCCCTCCCTGAGAATTTCCTCTCATCCGGCTTTCTCCCTTTGCGTGCGCTCTGCAGATCAAACCCTCTCAACTGGTTCACGATCCGTAAGTACACCAACCCTTCGTTTAATTTTCAGATGCTAGTGAAAATGCAGCCATCAATCTGTCTCCGTATTCAGATGCTAGTGAATTTTGTTTGCTGTTCAGAAACAAAATTCAGAATCGGTCACAAGATCATAGACAATATCCAGTTTCATCTTTCTTTGTTGCGGACATAACAGAATTTCACAAAATTCAGAATCAGTCACAAGATCATAGACAATACCGATTTCATCTTTCTTTGTTGCGGACATAACAGATGGGCTGTGGCCGCAGTACAGCTACGGTGGGTGGCCGTCGTGCTGCAGGCCAACCACCACGTTCAACATGAACAAGGTACAGTACGCGTGAGGAGCCCTCGATTCAGTCAGAGTCTCGTGAGAACGGCACATGCCGGGCTCATTTCTCCAGAGATGCAACTAAATTAAGTCAATGTGCTTGGCCGGCGCGTGCAGATCGCGATGCTGAGGCCGATCCTGGAGAAGTACTGGCCGTCGCTCTACTGCGGCGACACCTCCACCTGCTTCGGCGGGAGAGGCCCCTTCTGGGCCCACGAGGTACTGCTAGCAGTTCAGTTCACCGGCGACTTAGCATATTATTGAGGAGAAACAGACAGCACTGTGGCTCACTCACTCACGGGCTCATTTTGTTTCTGTCGTGCATGTGCTGATGTTTCTTTGGCTGGACCGTCTTCTTCATCAGTGGGGTATGCATGCGCTCTCTGAATCTACTTACCAGCAGAAGAGATGCATACGCTTTGTGCTCTTCTTGACCCGTGGTATCTGACACTCGAGGGACTCACCCTCTGTTCTGTTGGTGCGTGTTGCAGCGACTCATGGAACGTGTGGCTACCCGGAGATACAGGACGAGTACGACTACTTCTCCACGGCGCTCTACCTCTACAGCAAGTACAACGTCACGGTAATGACCCCACGTTCGTAGCAGCACAGGTCGCCGTGGCTGTGAATGGTTCTGCACGGCGTTAACGCGCACGCTTCTCAATCTGCGCGCAGAAAGCTCTGCGGAAAGCGCAGATCTACCCGCGGAACGGCCGCAAGTACGCGGTGGCGCACATCGTGGACGCCATTGACCACGCCTTCGGCCGGCTGCCGCACCTCGTCTGCAAGAACGGCTCCGTGCAGGAGCTCAGGCTCTGCTTCCACAAGGACTACCAGGTACGATAACACACACATGGGATCCCTTCTCGGCAAAGAAGAAAACGCAACTCAGCCAATATTTATCTGTCGCAGCCCCGGGATTGTCCTACAGCAGGAGAAGCCATTGCCCTCGCTACGTCACCCTCCCATCCTACAAACAGTCTGGTACGAATTACTGCCCCAAGATTAGCTGCTTCAAAATTTTCAAACTGATTTGGTTGGGGTGCGCCACGCCTGGACAGTAGTGCAACGTCCAGGGAACACATGAGGGCCCCAGTGGCAAGCCACTGTGATGGACCCTCCCCCATAAAAAATAAATTTAATATCGTTGTGGGCACATGGCCCACATATCAGATATTAAACTGATAAGAACAGATACTACACTTGATCTTAGCCAAAAGGCCGAGAAAGGTATGAGTTGTAGCAGCTGCCCTGCCCCTCTATTTGATGCCTCCTCGCCCTCCCGTGCGCTCCTCGCTGGGCGAGGTGGGACTAAACGAAACGAGTTGCTACCTCCTCATGGCTGCGTACTCCCGAACCAGCCTCTTGTATGGGCCTCGTACAGGAGGGCCTTGTCCGGAGTGTAATGGACCTGAGTTACTCCTCCTGGCCCATCATCATCCAAGCAGTTCTCATATACGAGGCCCAGTTATTGTGTCCTAAAAATAATTTATTTTGCCCTTTTCTTTTAAAAAAAGTTATTTTGCCCTTTTGTGCTGTACAAATTTATTGCTGCAGGTATGAATTCTACTGTTCTCAAAAATGGTTTGCCGTTTTGCGATCGCAGCGTCGGGGAACGCCACGGAGGGCCGCCTGCGGAACCCAGCGGAGAATCAGCCGCGCGTACACGGGCAGAGCTACCTATAACTGACCGTCACGGCCGGGCGCTGTCGGACTGCTCCATCGAAGTGTGTCCTGAAGCCTGAGGATGCACGCAAGGCCGAGGCGATGCACGGTGCGACGGACGCCGCCGTCGATCGGCCGGGAAACTCCCGGCCAGAGGCAGGGCAGTCGTCGGTTCATGCCGCTGCGATTGATTAATTCTTCTGCGCGTTCGCTTGCAGGGTGTGTGTAGGCTCTGTTCTGCACAAAGAATTGACGTTGCAACCGTGTATGTACATGATATTGGGCATCAAGGAATATTGTGGGTTAGGATCAAGGTATTGAACATATAAAGGATAAGCTAGTGCGCCCAACTAGCGGCACCAGCCACGTCTCCTTTTAGGCCAACTCCACCGCACGATCCTAAATCTATACCCATTTTGTCCGGATTTTGTCCATATAGGGTAGAAATAGAGAGAACAAACGGCGGACAGAGGCCGCACAAACTCGCTGCACGCAGTGCTACTACCCCATTTTCATCTCATACGTCGTGGTCGTGGATGCACATGGTGGGCCGGGTACAGAAAAGGAGAGAGTGACATGTGGGGTCGAGGCGGACACAGGCGAACAACGAGGACGCAAAGGCGTCCGCTTTCTGTCCGCTTTGGCCCCAAACCGAGAGCAACTTTGGTTTAGAAATGGGGCAAAAGCGGACACGGGCCGGACAAAACGTCCATATGCTCTCATGTATTAGATCGTTTGATTTGTTCATTTTACCTCAAACGGACACAAACGAATCATTTGGAGTAGAAATGGGTCACGCGATGGAGTTGGCCGTATTCGCGAGAACGGAAACGCGAGCGAGAGAAGGGAGCGAGCGAAGGGAATCCACGTGCGCGAGCGAGCGTCCCCCTCCTTCCAAACGAGCCCG